TTAACATAACATGATCATCTGCTGCGCTTTTATCATAATTATTTTTAATAAGCATAGGACTGACAGGGTGAACTTGAACAGCTCTCACGCATAGCAGAAATTGCTTTTACTTTAATTAATCTATGTTTACTTATATCGTGTACAATATTATAACTTTTCGATGTCACAGAGCGATGTCACAGAATTTAATTACTTTACCCGAGTGACAATGTGGTGTGAGTCTGGTGTATACATTTTAGCTTTTGCATGTAAAGTTTCAAGCGCTGATAGTTATAAAGAGTCCAGTCGTTTTGAACCTCGTCTGTACGTTCCTAATTAAAAATGTACCGAAATAAAATGACGTTTCCGCTCAGAAAGCTGAAAAGTAAATCAACGGTCTTTTAGGATTTGCTGTTTTAATTTAACTTAACTTTACGTCAATTTTTATCTTTAGAGTAAACCAAGAAGTTTGTAAACTCGAACCTGAACTTGCCGCAGCACATTTGAACTTGAACTCGCATTCAACTTGTGCGCGCGAGAAATTAAGCCTAGACATGAGGTAATTCAATGTTTTCTTGACCTCTTTTAAGTAATCTGTTTAGTGCTTTCTTAAACATTGGCATCCTACAACTGTACACGACAGAGTTGCCAAGGGTCTTTCCTAATTGAAGAACAGTTCTTATACCGATGTCTTTGGAGGGACACACTAAAAAAAAACAACTCCATCACACTTTACAGCATAATGCCTGGTAGCCAAAATATAAATGACAAACATATCACTATAAACAAAGTTTTCGGGAGTTTTATGTTGCGTTGTTTATTATGCTTGTGATTACTTTCCTGTGCCTTTGAACGGAAACTGACATAACACGGTATACATCGTGCAAACAATGCAACAAGAAGGCACAACAAACTGATCAATCAAGTCCCGCACCAAGTTGAATGCATTGTATCCAAAATCCTAAAAGCTCCTGGAGCATTAAAAAAAACACAGTCATGAAGGTCGCAACAAGCCAAATAAATGCGATACGGCAAAGGTACTTAGATATGATTGCTGTTCGCGTGACGAAATGGAAGGATAATTGCGAAAGCTTTTTCCGAAGAAGATTGTTGAAGTGTATGAAAATAAACGATAAACTTGAAAGAAGGTAGCCAGTGTAGGTATCGCGGAACGTCGGCGTTTTCATTGACACAAGAACGGGAAGTGCTTTTTTTTTATGAGAGATATTGGATGCGTCACACCCACAAAAAGAGGGGCAGATGCAAGGTTTAGTACGAGATAGTAACTTCGCTTCATACTGAAAAGTTGACTCCTGAAAACTAAAAAGGCGAAAGTATTTCCAGTGCAGATGTTGAGACTTTCGGTCACCGAAAGAAAACAAAGTAGTGCTAGAACAGTCCTCGACATTTCTCCTGAATTAACAAGATTGGAAAAGAAGACTGAAACACAACTGAAAACGATTCTTCAATTTTCAGGCTAAGTCGATAAACACCTGCCTTTCCGAGTGGACGGACTTCCTTCACTTTTATTTGTATGACTTAATTAAAACCCAGCATCGACTTAACATTGCACTGATGAATTTGAAAAAAAAAGTGAAACTTAATGAAGAAACAGCAAACACAGTAAGCTAATCTATACTTATTATAAGGAGATTTCAAATATATTTTCCCACGCAATAATGTACTTACAGGGTTCTTTTAATTATATCAATCAACTTCACCTTTAAGTCGCCGAAAAGGAGAACCATAATTCAAGGCATAAATATAAGAAATAACCAACATTTCAGAAAGACTGGATACGAGAAAGAGACAAATATTGCGCCAAAAGCAGAATTTCAAATAAAATTAATTATCACCAATTTTTCATGAAGTACATTGAACAGAAGCCCAGCTTGTTTCCTAACCAACTGCATACGTTGTTATTACTGGAGATAGAGAACAATTTCATTGTACTTATTATCTAGACCTAGCATTGGGATGTTTGCTTTCTCAGTTCCATTTTATCTGAAAGGTTAATAATATATTATATATGGGATTTTCTCCCGGTGGAGAGAAGTGGATTTGCTTCAAAACTTTGCGTTATCTTTTTTAGCGTCGATTTCTTAATTAATTTCGTATTTATAAACTCAAATTTATGAACTTTAAATGGTAAAATAGTTTATGAGAACGAGAAATTGCATACCCCGTGTTTCTATACATGCCGCAGTACAACATCTTATGTCGTACACTCTTACAACAATCTGACACTCATTGTCCTCGATCCTCAAATTACCTTTATGCAAGTTTTGTTGCGCGAGTTTTCGATCGCTTCGTAGAATTACCAATCTAGGATTCCTCATTGTCATACTCACCTAACACGTTCTTTCAATAATCATATTTTAATAATCAGATTTTAACTATTGGGAATTTCCTTTACGTTAAGCATGACTAGTGGTATTGGTGGATTATTGGTACAGCGTGTTCGAGGCTCTAAGTTACCATTCTGATTTCTTGTTATTCGTTTTGGTCTTAATTTCGCGAGCGGTTCCTTAAAAATAGGCATCCTAAAGCTGTAAATGACAGGGTTAACAAAAGAGCTGGCTATATTAAAAAGTGTGCCACTATAAAGAACAGACATTGGTATAACATATTTAACAACAACGTACATGAAGTATAACACAGTTCCTGGAAGCCAACAAACAAACGAAGCAGCGATCACAATGAACAGGGTCCGCGATAGTTTGATGTTTTGTTCTTCATCGTTCCGTCTATGTTGATGAATGGCGGGACATCGGCTATGAAGTTTCTTTCGAATAATCAAATAGCTTCCACAGATTATTGTAAGAGAGAAAAAGATCATTGAACAGACCATTATTGTACAGAATAAGTATCTCAACAACTCGGCTTGGTGTAAAAGGAACGCTGCACACACAACCATCCCTGCTGACCAGACAATAAAGAGGCTACAAATATACCATTTGTTACTGGTGACCCGATGGCGAAGCGGCAAAATCACGGCATAAGCACGTTCCACGGAGATAATGGCAAGGGAAAATAACGACAAGCATGAAAACATTGTTGGAAGCATGCTTGAAATATTGTCTTGGGTCGATATAATGGATCCGTCTTCTTCTTCAAAGTGCCGTGGAATTGTCATTGTACCTATTGCAACTGGTTCAGTTAATCCAACAAGGAGATCCACTACAGCTAAGTTTATAAGAAGAGATGATGTTCGCTTCAGGCGTTTTCGATGAGTCCAGAAAACGTAAATGGTAAAAATATTTCCAATTAAAATGAATACGCATTCAAGAGAAATAATACTGCAGATGACAATGGCAGCCGCGTTTGACATTGTTTGAGGTGTAGGTTGTTATGATGAAATTTTCCAGCGATTGCTTGAAGAAAACTTCGTCGACAAGGGTGTCAACAGTAGCGTCAATATGGCGTGCATAAAGATTCTGCTTTGCAGAAAAACTGAGACGAAAACTTCTTGATTACGAAAGAATAGGATGCTATATAAAGTGTTTTTTTTAAT